TTCTTGATGAGATCTTATTTTAATAAGTTCTGATCTGATCTGATCTGATTGGATCTGATCTGATCTGATTGGATCTGATCTGATCTGATTGGATCTGATCTGATCTGATTGGATCTGATCTGATTCGATCTGATCTGATCTGATTCGATCTGATCTGATTCGATCTGATCTGATCTGATCTGGTCTGATCTGATCTGATCTGATTTTAATAAGAATAAGAAAAAATAAGAAAAAATAAGTTGAACGGAACGGGACCTTAATGGCCTAACAAATTCACGTAAACTAATTATATTTAATCAAAATTAACGCGACTTTATTATCTGTAAATGACAAAATTATAATATTATAATTACATACCCTAAAAGCTAGATGAGGATTCAAGAAGTTCTTTTTTTTCTTTTTTGACTATCGGATAAATGTATAGGAGCCATAACTATTGAAGTATTTATGAAATCTATACAATATACAAAAGCAAAAGAATTGGGAGAACAAAAAAAGAAAAAAAATAGTGTTTCCCGCCCAGTGTATCCACTGTTGATAAGCCCTTTGGAATATTTCATCATAGGGGTGGACACGGTACGGTTTCGGAACGGTTCCGGAACCGCCGGTTCCGGTACCGCCACCCCATGGCACCGGCACCGTGACCGGACCGACCGGTACCGGTTCCGCTTCCCGGACCGGCGGTTTCGGTACCGGACCGGCCGGTTTCGCCTCCCCCCCCTTTTTTTTTTGTTTTTTTTAAAATTTTTAAAGTGTGCCGATCTGTTGAAGACTAGTCCCCCCTATGTGCCGATTTGTTTAAAGTGTGCTAATCTGTTTAATAATTTTTTTTGCAGGCTACTTGTTCCTCCAGTTGAAGACTAGTCCCCCCCTTCCCTTTAATGTTTCCCTTCTTTTTTTTTTGCAGGTGGTTGGCCGATCTGTTGCAGGTGCAGGAGAAAAAAACAAAGTAACGGTACCGGTACCGTACCGGTACCGGCTTCCGGGACGAAAATTTGGGTACCGGTACCGGTTGGGGCGGTTCCGGTACCGGTTCCCGGCACCGGTGGGACGTGCCGTGCGATGGTGACGGTAGATGGTACCGGCGGTACCGTTGCCGGTAATGGTACCGTACCGGTACCGTGTCCAGCCCTATTTCATCAACGGCCTTTATCAAGCCTTGGAAATTGGAATACATGCATTAATTAGTCAGCCGCTTCATTTGCATAAGGCTGCGGAAACCGATCATTGAGCTTCCCTCATTGTTTTCCTTTCTCTTTTAAATTCCTATGTTGTGAAATGAAATCTCATTTGTTTAATACACCAATAAGAAAATGCATTTAATTTGGGTAATTCCATATGGTGTACTCTTTTCTTTTCTTAAAACAATTCTTCTTTCATTATTTTTGTTTTTTTGAAAATACTTCCATTTTTTATTAAAAAAATCACTTTCAATCCTATTTTTTCTTACCATGCATATCATATCATACTCTGACACTGATAATTTATGCATCACATCTTATTTTTATACATCATATTAAGGGTAAAATTGTAGAGTCAACTACAAATATGCATTCCTTATTTTTTCCTAAAATTCAAAATAGAAACTGTTGTTTGAAAAGGAGTACTAAATAGAGCATGTTTTATAAATCTGAAATTAAGAAAATAAAAAAATGGAGCAATGTTTAAAAAATTTTGTATTTAATAAAAACTTGGTGTTAAAATACATCTCAAAATACAACTAAAATAAAACAATGTGTACATTGACTCCACATGCACAATACAATTTATTGAAATTGAATCCAAACAATGACTCTAGGATATATTTGGGTTCTCATACGGTTTGCAACTCAGATTGCAATTCATATTTTGACAACGTTCCCTACATTTGTCAGAATTCTTGAATAATGTATGTATCTGGCGTGTTCCAAACCATTAACTAAACTTGAAAGTTAGCATATGAATAATGTTGTTAAGAAATATTAATTGCACAATAGAGTTGTACAATGCTATCAAATTATTAGTCACATATATGACCACTTCAATTTAAAATAAAATTTAATCTGGTATGCATGTGTGTCGAGAAATTGTTATTCCAAGATTGTCATTAACCCTTTCACATTCAAGAATTGCTCTCAAGTTTGAAAGATGACAGTTTCCCATGAAATTTTCATATGCGATGTTTATAAACAAAAGTCAAAATCAATTGTTGTCTCACGTAGGCCTTTAAATATGGATATCGTAGGTTATAGTTTGAATAGTTATAGATCACATTAATTTGGCTCCACAAGTTATATTGGTTATAAAGAAAATTTTCATAATTTGTAGGCGTCTTATGAATATGTCGTGAAATTGTTTATATTTAATTTTAAGATGTGGTACAATACTTAATTTTATTTGTACCTCTATTTATATAATTAACTTATACTCCGTATTTAATTTACTTAAACATTGATAATTCAAATATTTGTAATTAATATTTTTTAACATTTTTTTCCGTGTAACGCACGGGTATGAATCCAGTAAAATCTAAATCCATAAATTCTACTACTTAGTAAAATCAAATATGGAAAAGCAATAAAATGAATCAATATATCATAAATTCATATCAATTCGTAAATTGTTTTTTTCTTTTTTAGTTTTAATTTTTTTATATATCATAAATTCATATCAAATCATCAATTTTTTAGTTTTTATTTTTTTTCTTTTTCGTCAATTTTTTTAAGTTTTCAGTTTTTTATATACGAATATATCATGAATTTAAATCAACTCATCCAAATCAAATAAGCGAACCATTAATTCACTCTCTTTCATAGCAATTAACAAGAATTTCAAATTAAAAATTAATAATTAACCCTAGATTTTAAATCTAAAGAATGAAACAATGAAAGAAAATTAAGAAATAAGAATTACAAAATTGGAAAGCTATGAATATGGAAATACGAAATACCTGGAGGCTGGAGCTTGAGGGTCGGCGTCCGGCGGTGCGTCTAGCAGCTGCGGTTACTTCCGTTCTTCCGTCAGTAGTTTTTCGTGATTGTCCCACCGTCTTCCGTTCGGTTCTTCTTCCCTGTAATGTGCGTAAGTCAAAAGTGACCTAAGATTTATTACCTTAAAACATTTCGAAAAAAATAGGAAAAAAATACATTTATTTACGTTTATGGATGAAATATTGGGTGGAATGTCCCCTTCCAGTAATTACAACAAAATGTAAGGACCTCCGTGGTCTTCTTGAAAATAAAGGGGCATATTTGGCCTCTTAAATTTAACCCGAACATATTTGGCCTCTTAAATTTTTGGGCCGGGCCCGAACGGACTTCTTGTCCCCCTATTAGGTCGGCCATAAAATTGGGCGACTGTTGGTCAAACATTTGATTAAAGCGGCAGTATAAAATAAGGAGCAGTGCGGGAAAAAACTATATGAAAATAATAAAGGGTAATTTAATTACATAGTATTAAAACATAGTGATTTTTTCAATATAATATTATATGTCTTTATTTTTCAATGTAGTATCACTGGTCATTGTTCAAGTAAATGTACAACACTCTAATATTTGATTTTGTTGTGTTATTTATATTAATTTAAAAATGTTAAATATGCTTTTGGTCAATGATTTTTATTTTTAGTCCATGTAAAATATATTTTCGGTAAGCCATTCCTACAATTCTCTTTTTATTTTTTTAAAATCATCCTTAAACATAATTTGTAATTTTAATTTGTTGAGATATCATATTTATTTTTATACTAAACATCTTATTCTTGCATTCCTACGGTTTTCGACACAACTCTCATGCTCTAAATTATTTAGTATTGGGAATTGGAAATATAGTATACTAAAATTTGGAAATTGGTGATGTATTCGATAAATGAGACCAAATTAGAAATGTAATATTAGAATATTGAGCATAAATAAATTTGTTATCTCAACAAATTAAAAGTGTAAATTTTGTTTAAAGATCATTTTCAAAATTTAAAATTTTGTAAGGATGACTAAAGAAAGAAATACAAGGACCAAAAACAAAATTTGTCTATTTTACAAAGACTAAAGTCATATTTAAGCCTTATATAAATGAACTTTTTATTATTTAGAAACAATCATTAGTTTTGTTACTCTATATATTTTTAAAAATGAACTAGTTCAGGAGGCCTTGGAATTTTAACTTCTAGCCAAACGTGTATAGTAATGTGTTGACCTTTGAAACTCATAACTTTATTTTAATAGAATTGTGATAATGCTTTTAGGATCAGCTGAACCCCCTCACTACTCTCAAGTCTCAAGTCGAGGTGTGGAGGCGCTCGGGGTAGACAATCCCTTTTTTTATTGATTGGGCTCTGAGTGACAACCTCTCTTCACTCGGATGACACATACCTTTAGGTTATGTCCACATCACTAATGCCATTTTGAGAAAATATATTGAGGCAAAATTTGAGATAATAAAAGAGCCTCGAATGATAGATATAGATCACCTAAAGTTAGTAAACTATTGTAACACAACAAATAAAGATTAGTGATATAAGGTAAAAGACATTGAGAATAAATAACATGTACATCATAATACGAAGTAACTAAGATTAAGTTGAAAAGAATAAAATTTAGTTCTCATCTTACAATATTGAGTATCAAATTTTAAATTGGCCCTTCAAATAGCAAATAAATAGAGTGTTTTTCTGTGTTGATAATTATTAACAAATTGTTGATAAATAATTTTTAACTTATAAGCAGCTTATACATTAAATATTCTTATGTGGAAGTAAAATGACTTACATGAGAGAGAATTCATTTGGAGATATCCATAAAAGGAGAGAGACGATTTTGTAAATAATTTAGTCAAAACAAAGAACCAAAAAAATTGCTTGAAAATAAAGTAGGTAAGACTTACTTATTTTTTCCTAACTTATACAGAGCTTATAAGCACAAACATGTCATCAGATAAATTATAAGTTAAAAAACACGTATAAACAATTTTGACCAACTTATAAGCACAGAGAAACATTCAATCCATATACGGAGCATATACAATAGGACCCAAGACCCAAAGAGAGGTCATAATCCAGAATTTACATTAACTGTGCAGGGTGCACAAAGGAAAATAAGACTGGACTACCAAATAACATGATTCTTACAATACTACGGATTATTAATAATATTTACATGAGGTTGATCATAGTAAACTGTAGCATTAAAATATTACAGTGCTATAATACTAACCACTACTAATATTCATCATCCTTAAGAGCAGGCAATTTACAGATTGGGCAGACATTTTTCATTGACAGCCACTTGGTGATGCATCTCACATGGTAGTCATGTCCACACCTCTTCAACCTCCCTACTTCCTCTTCCTCCTCATAACTTTCCTGCATTATATTGTTGGGCAACCCAAATAAGCATAAATGGTGATGAGGGCTACGTATGGAATCAAACACGTCTTATTTTTGAAGTGTTGGGCAAAAAATCCTTACGAGGCAAATGGCACAACTTTTGTCATCGTCATTAGAAGAAACAAAGCCTTCCGCTGTCATGCACTTGGAAGCCATATCCTCGGACAAACCCGTATTGACAATCCCTATTCTATCCCCCAGGGCAAGCAGTTCCTGGAAAGGGAGTAAATATGATAAGTCAGTTATAGATACAGGGTGACTGGGGGGGAAGAAGATCTGCATATTGAAAGATGTTATGGCACTTTCTGACAAGTGATAATAACCTCATAACTCATGCTATCAACATCTAGCCTCATGCCTACGTAATCATCAAACATGTTTCTGGAAACCCCGGAAAATGATTGACGTTCGAACGTGAGTACCTGCACGAGGGTGGGAAAAAACTATTAATATTGAAGAGTACAGAAACAGATTCGTTCAATGATTCAGATTCCTATACTTTTATTCTGTGCTAACTGGGCTGCTGTTTTCCGATTACTTTATCATGAGAGAATGCCTTCTTTTATAGAGAATGAACATAGAGGTGAGAACTGAGAGGTGAATTAAAAATATAGTAATGAGTAATAATTTCCAAAAAAATCTTGCACAAGTTGGACACTCAAGTTGAAATAAGAAGACTACTAATGTATGCAAATTGCAAAGATGGAAGATGCTAATACCAAAAGGCTGAGTTTCATTGCAAGTCTCTAACAAACGAAGTGAGAATTTTGAACATGGAAAGATAATTAAAGAGGGGACATTTATTCAGGTTAGAAAAAGACTTCTTTTCTTACATTAATTATTGGTTCTTATTCAAGATAGAACATTTGTGAAATATGCTGTATACATGAGTTAGAAGTATCTGGAACTATCCAAAACATAGAAAAATTACCTCAGATCTCATTCTATCTCGAGTATCGACCACACTAGGAAGTGCATTAGTAACCCCAACACTTCCATGTTGCACGCGGTTGCACCATTCAGGCCATCCTTCAGCACTAGCTGACCTCATATTTCTGAAGGAAAATGTTTCAGCAGAAAGCACACTGTTTTCAGTGGACGTTGGTGCAGAAAGGCCTAGCTGTGGGTGGCCTAAACCATTAACATTTGGGGGTAATATTCTTCCATTATAATTCATGCATCTTTCCCTTCCAGTTGAAAACCAGCTACCATGGTGGCCACTCATGCCGGAAGCACCTCCTCCAATATAATAAGTGTTCATGTCATGACTTGAGCCACCAGATTCTGTGGGTTTAGATAAGAAATTGGTATTTTTTAAGTATTCTTGTCTATACAGTTTGAACCTCTAGTATACTACTGTAAGGTAAACCATTCTTTTGGGATGAACATGGCATAATTTAACACAGAGCCATATCTGCTGGTTTGTCGTGATCACACCCAGTGAGTTTGGACACATTTGTCCACCCCTTTAGTTCTTTATTCCCCATTTAACTCCCCTGACTTCATACTCTATATGGAGTATGCAGTTTTGGGCAGTTGGGATCAACCTAGGTTTGTTTTTATTGTTGTTGTTCAATTGTTCAGTGCAACATGGGACGACGGGTGTCAATTAAAGCATCCCATGCTGGTTCGTCAACTAGATTTGGATGTAATATATAAGTGTAAGTTGAACAGGATGTGTTAGGCTTATCTTAACATCAAAACCTAAAACTACGGCCCAATGTAACACTTCTGTCGGGGCCGGGGGGGGGGGGGGGGGGGGGG